TTCCATTACTTAATACTGTTGAATGTTTATTCCATAGCTACCTGCTTCATTCCTATTAGGAAATCCTTGATGAACTCAACTTTTGAATAATTTAAATTTCTGCATGCATTTATATCATTGTATATATTTTTAAAAATATATTTTAGCGACTCCGGTAGGATATACGATTACGGCAGAAAACGACGAAACTGTGGTACTGGCGCAGACAGAAGAAGAGTTCAGAGATGATTGGAATTACAAATTACAACAAAGCAACATACCATTATTAACCGCCCTAATAAAAAATCACACTTTACCACCGACGGCTGATGGCAGTACTGTAAGTAGGTATTCCCTTTATGAAAGTCACTCCCAAACGAAGCTTTTTTGCTGAACTTTTTAATTTTATTAAACTTTTTTTGTTGCAGGGCAGACTCTTGTGGGGCCTGGATCAAGATAAGTCGTCCCACTTACCGCCTTTCGTGGACAAAGCATTGAAACTGTTAAATTTAAAGCAGGTCGCCTTTGAAATTGAGAATTCTGTCATGTCTAAAGTATCATGCACGGCTTGTCGGGCAGGTAAGTTATGTCTTATTTATGCAGTCTTATAAATAAATAAATATAAAACTCCCATTTCAAGAAAATCACGGCCTTTCTTTTCATCTTCACGGTAAAAGCGGTGAGAGAACATAGACTTTTTGCGTTTTGTTCTCGATATTTGATTAAGCAAATCCCAAAACCGCTCAAGTTCTGAGCAATTTTTCCATTTTGATCCAAAGGAAGCTAAAATCGACACAGTTTTATGGTTCTGTGGCCCAGGATCTGGTGCTCGAAAATAGAAAACCGACGTTCTTTAAGCGAACTTAATTTAACAAAATGAAAAATTTCATGCAAACATATTTAAATACGAAAAATTTGTTAACTTAACAAAATTATTAACCAAGGTTTGTTCTACTATAAAGTGGCCGGCTCGGTTTAATACAAGAAAATTACGCCAGTATTTGAAGAATTTGTTGGGATTTGCGTTGGCAGAAATTTCTTAACATTCCTACCGTGCTTAATCACTTAAGACAGCGGCACTACAAGCAAGTCGCTGGTTTCAGTGCCAATCAAGAGTTTGCAGCCCTATTGGAAATGATGGTTTATCAATTCAACTTTCCATTTTTCAAACATCGATTGCTACATTTTCAAATCGTACATAAACTTCATATAATCTTAAAGCATCATCCGTAAAGGGATGTAAACCCAAATTCGCGAATATAGTAAAAATTGAACATTTCAAGTGAACCCAGAATATCTATTACCTTCAGTATTCCTATAAAGAAACGCGATTTAATCTAATTTTTAGTGGATGGCCTTCGCTGTAAATTCAGTGGGTTCTCTTCATTTGATGTCTTTGCTTTCTGAAGATACAAAACTCTAGTCGTTTTTGTCGGAAACGTCTGACCGTTTCTTAATTTAATACGAGAACACTTTTAAATGGTCTTCAAACCAGAATATTCTGGTATAACCTTGAATGCGAAAATTACCTTTTAAGCTTTTGTTAGTTTGCAAAGCAGCACTCCGATAAACCATGATTTTTGTATGCAAGAAATACTCGTGCTTAAGTTATACCAAAACCTACTCTACATGCCAAATACATAAAATTCACCGTTTATATTCAAGACAAGAAAATATCGTAAATTATTGCCATTTTTAGATCTTGGAAAAATTGTTGTTGTTCGTAAAGGTTGTGTTCCCGAGCATATGTTTATGAAGCAAAACTTTCTACTGGCATTAAAGTCGGTATATTCAGGGAACACCCTGTGTATGGATCCATAAACCGACATTTTTTACTTTAGGTGCTGGTTTGCTTCAACATTACACCAAAACGGGAAAATCTGAGAAGGAAATAAAAAAGACCATTTACCAATTTTGTGTCAATCTAAAAATCCAATCCTCGAGAGTGTGTGAAGGAATAACCGAGCTATTCGCTGGTGAAGTGATCTACGTTCTGGGAAAAGTGAATATTGGTAAGCAAACACAAAAAAGCAGCTAAACCTAGACTAGACTTCCTTAAAAAATCACCAAAAGTTTGTTTCAAATTTATATTTGTGTGACTATCCTTTAGAACTGATTCTGATTATGTTATGTGCGGCGAAAACACAATTTAAACATTCGCTAAATAGAATTTTCGGTCTTTTCAGGACCAGATGAAATTTGCAGTTTTGTAATTGGAGATGCTTGTGGCGATGTCTACAATCCATACCATGAGTGGGAAGTGGTTTTTCCACCAGTTCCAAAACCTCCAGTTGTTGAACCAAACGTTCCAGAAGTAAGTGTGTAAATAAGATTTATACTGAAAAAAATACTTCTGCAAAACACATTTTCAACAGTTTAAAACAGTTTTTGAACAAAGAATTTGATGCAAAAGGACCTCAAAGAGACCATGACGCATGAAAACAAAGTGGGTAAAATACCCAACTCACTTTAAATGTCCAACTCTTGTTACTTAAAGTAAATTAATATATTTTTGATACAGGGTTCCGAAAATTCGTTAGAATAAAAAGGTATTTCAGAAATTAATTTTATTAGAAGAATTATTAAAAGAAATTAGTTTTAATGAATACCACAGACTAATTACAGGCTAAAATAACTCAAAAATTACGATTTTCCTAAGAATTGACTTTCCACTTCAAGCGTTTTCATTGAATTCAAAATGAACCAGTATCTGCAGCGGTTATTTTTAGCTCCTAGTAAGGCAATTATTAGAGTTTCTTAACACTTTAAATAGACATTTTTTAATCTTCAATATTAAGAGTATTTTGTTTGCCTGTGTCAGGATGATTTTATTTATACGCGTATACACTTTGTAAACTTATATTTATTCTTGTTAAGGCAGTTCTTAAACCAATATATTTTACGTATCTTTTTTACGCACCGTAGATATTTAGATACTACTCTTTGAGCGGGCCAAAATTGGCAATTTTTGCGACTTCCGAACTTTCATATTTGCTATTAGTACAACTAAAGCATTGTAAATTTGTTCTTGTTTATAGGCAAATGCCCCAACTTTCAAAGTTTTGCACATATCGGACACCCATTACGATCCTTATTATATGGAAGGTGCAAACGCAGACTGTTCAGAGCCTCTTTGCTGCAGATTAACCAACGGACAAGCTCTAACAAAAGAATCTGCGGCTGGCAAGTATGTTATTTTTTAATCACATTTATAACGAAAACATTTTTTTTAAAACTGTCTGGCTAATTAATGCAAGTAAATTTGTGCTTCAGATGGGGTGATTATAGGAAGTGTGATACTCCCAAAATTACCGTCGACAACATGTTGCAACACATACAAGATACTCACCCTGTAAGTGATATTTTGTGCTCGATATTTAAGAAATTGAATGGACATACAGGAAAATGCTTCCCAGATTGATCTTTTCAAATGTTGCTCTTTAAATCAGAATTGCTTTCTAACATTTTATTGTTGAAGGATATAGATTACATTATGTGGACGGGAGATTTGCCACCTCACGACATATGGAATCAGACAAAGGACGAAAATATCAAAATTCTAAAAGAAACGGTCAAGCAAATGTCGATTATGTTCCCAGGCATACCGATATTTCCAGCTTTAGGCAATCATGAAGCTGCTCCTGTAAACAGGTAATGCAATTGCAATTTTTTTTTTAATACTTTCGATAGAGGAACGAAGCTGGAAACAGGACTAAGTCGGCACATTTCCAATCCATAATTGACGAAAAATCTGCCACTAGATTTCTTGCATTTAATTTAATCAAACTATCCTCGCAGCACTTGCGTTGAGCTTTTGGAGCAATTATAACAGATGATTTTTTAATTTGTAGCTTTCCTCCACCTTTTGTAAGCAATCCCGATAGTTCCATCGCTTGGCTCTATGATGAACTTGATGCTCAATGGCGCAAATGGTTACCGAGCTCCGTGAGCAATACAGTCCGAAGAGGAGCGTTTTACTCAGTATTAGTCAGGCCTGGATTTAGGCTCATTTCACTGAACATGAATTATTGCAATAACAAGAACTGGTGAGCCCACATCTAATTATAGCGTTGTAACTTTAATGCCAGTTGTATTTTATTAAACATTTTTGTATATTTATTATCGTATTAGTAAAAAATTGATTTTTTGTGTGTGTAGGTGGCTACTTCTAAACAGTACCGATCCAGCTACTGAGCTGCAGTGGTTTATTTATGAGCTACAATCGGCTGAATTCAATGGCGAAAAAGTGCATGTGATTGGTGAGCTGAAATAGTCGATTTGTGTCTGAAGACTCGATAATGTTAAATTGTTCCTCTTCAGGCCATATTCCACCAGGTCACTCAGATTGTTTAAAAGTTTGGTCCAGAAATTATTATGCCATTATTAGTCGCTACGAATCCACAATTATTTCACAATTTTTTGGACACACTCACTATGATGAATTTGAAGTGTTTTACGATCATACAGATTTAGGTAAGTAAATGGATCGATGTATGTGTGCACACACTGAGTAAAATTCAATGAAACTTTCTTGTATTGTATGGGTATATAATATAGTAATAACATAAATCATTTATGAAGAATTTGCCCATCTGCTTGTATTAAACTCTGCAAACCGCGCGTATAAGTCGATTTTATTTAATTGATGCATATTTTTGTGCGAATCATTTTCTGCGATATGGTAGTTCATACTTAAACGCGCATAATTATAACGAAAATTAGTTGCGCTTACATAAACTGCATTTTTACGACGCGATTAAAACCTGAAACACAAAAAACTTACTGAAAAACTTGGAAAAATTATGCATGAAATTGCATTATTTTATCTCTACATTTAATTGTTTTATACTTTGTTTACATTTAATGATGCGATATTTGTGCTCCCGTATCATAAATGTGAGTATTTTAACAATGAAAGCATAGCCAAAAAGTGACAAAAATTTCGTGTGGAATTACACTGTTTGCAGCGTTGATAATATCAAAAATGTTTTATTAAAATGTGGAAAATTTTGATTTTTAATCGCTTAATAATTGTTGATAATTTCCACAAAGATTTGTTTGTCATCTATAATTCTACACATCTGGAGGGATAAATCTGTTGCACCAGTTTTAAGCACCAGCGTTTTTTAAGAGAGTACTTTTCAAATGCAAATAAACTATTTTCTTCTTCGCTTTGTTTCCTATTTTCACCAATTCTGTTCGCTTACAATTTTATCACCTTGACTTGAAGGCTAAAGACAAAAATGTGGGCGTCTTATAGTTGCAGTAGAAAAACTGTCTAATTTTTCAAACTGATGGCTGTGTTTATTTTCCTTAAACTCTCAAAAAGACGCGCTTAAGGGCACAAGTTTATATAAACTGTATTATTTGTCCAAGTTTTCCACAGCTTCTGCTTTAAGTAGCTAGAAATCAGCAGCTAATTTCGTTCTAATTACTCCGTTTATATCAAGTAAAGTTTTTTTTTGTCTCTTTTAGCCAGACCGATAAATGTCGCTTATGTTGGCCCGTCAGTATCTCCTTACTACGATCTGAATCCAGGGTACCGCATTTACTACGTGGATGGAGATCATGACAAAACAACTCGGGTAAGTAATTTACGGTTTTTAAATTTCTCATATTTTATAAGAATCCTGCCATTCAAAAGCCTGTTAAAGAGCGAATTTATTGAAAACCTTACCTAAACTTGTATGCAAAATTTAAGTTGAATGCACGTTTTGTCAATTTGCTTTCAATCATGCGAAAAACCGACGTTATTTCGAACAATTCTTAAATCTAATCTTGCATATGTGGAATATTTGGTTTGAGAAATTAATAACGAGAAAAATACCCTTTGGGCAATAGAGGGAAAGACATAAATAAATCCAATTGAATACTTTGAAATATATTGAAATGTTATTAAAAAGCCGATTTACTTTGAGGTTTTACGGTTTTAATTGTCGATTCTAGGCAGTTGTTGATCATGAAACCTGGACTATGAATCTAAAGGAGGCAAACATCTACGGATACCCGATTTGGTTTCAGTTGTACAGTGCGAGACAATCGTTCGGGATGGACTCTTTAAGACCTCGAGATTGGGATGATTTTGTAGAACGAATGACCAACGACCCCAAATTATTTGAGTTGTTTTACAAGTAAGTGATATGAATAAAATGTATCAATCATATGAAACAATTCACACTTTAATAACGCACCAGAATAATCCAATTTTAAAATATAATTGATAATTTTCTTCAGCTGACCAGCAAGCTTTATCTTTCAGGTATTATTTCAAAGCTAGTCCGGTAAGACCAATGTGCGATATGGAATGCAAGAAGAAAATTCTATGCGATTTACATTCGGGACGTTCTCACGACCGCAAGAATTTATGCCAATCTATTGAATCGCGAATAGATTCAACATCCACCACATGGAGAGATTGGTTCTACAACACCATTTCTGTCTCGTACGTATACATCGAATCTTAAGCGTTCTTAAAATTCGAACGGTTCTGGTGAAATTAACCAACGGAAACTTTATCGCTTTTGTAAATATATTTTCCACTAATAACTTTTTATTATAGTCTGGTGTAGGAATCCAGGACGTTTTTGTCCAACACATTTGGCATTGGCGTTTAAGGTATGTATAATATACAGATTTTCCTATCATTTGTTGTCGACCTTAAATATTATGCTTGCTACTTATTAACTACCTATTCATATTAATTTAGTGCCGATATTAACAAATGCGCGGACATATTTATTTTATTATACCGAATGAAGAAATTTAAGAAGATGATAATTTGATTAAACTAATCTTCCTTTCCTCACTGCAGCTAATTTACTTTATTCGCCTAAGTCTCGATGATCCACTTCCAAATTCACCTAAAAAGTCCTGTTCCAACAACTTACTCTGTCTTCGATCTGTTTAATATTACTGCTAATCAACTTCCAATTTTCCATTGCTTGCTTAAAACACACAATGCACTTTTAACTCTTCTTTAATACGTTAAACTACCCAATTAGTTATGTTTTAATCAAAACTTACCTTAGGTCACACAGGGGATTTAAATAAAATATAAAACTAATTATAACTTTTTTTAGTGTTTCAGTTATAATGTCGATACCAAGACTGACAATGCAGGTGCCAAAATACGTCCTGGGCTTAGGGTAGTAACAAATCAAATTTATAGAGAGAGTTCAAATATTTTTAAATGTGAGAGATCCGAAAATTAGCTTATTAAACTGCAGCCAGTCAATAGAAAATCAAGCTAAGGCTTAAATACCAATTAGTCCAGCAATGTTTATTACATTTTAGTTAAAAGTGTTAAATGTACATCGGCGATAAACATTGAAAACAATGTAGCATAAGAAAGGAAATGTAAATGTGTATAAATTCAAATGGGAAAAATTTCAATTGCTAATACTTTAAAAGCCTTCACGTAGAATAATTTGTAGTCGCATCCTGAGGCAAGTTTAGACTAACTGCAGATGCGAACACGTTAATGCAACAGGCTGTGTTATTGAAATCAAAATAGGATAAGAATTTGGCTTAAAGACATAATTTATTACAATGTAACGCAATTTAATACTTTTGTACATATACGCAATTATTTATATAAAATTTGGTTTTATTTAGTGAGAACTAAAACCTTAAACTCCTTTTCTTGCCATACTAACAATTGCATTCATATTTGTTTACAAATGTTATTATTTGTTGTTACATTACTTCTTTTAAACCTCGTCAGTGAAAATTGACTAAAGACAATTTTTCAAAAAAAACTGAAATAGGTGAACGAAATCAATTCATTTAAAAGTTTTTATTGAGAAGAGTAAAAGCTCCAAAATTTGAAATCAATTTCAGCTATTAGCCAAACCTCGACTAATTTTAATTGTTTTCGACATCCTCTAACAGATGCTACAAAGTGTTACTGAAATGTATGCCTATTTGCATAATGTATTATTTCAATTATATTGTAAGCAACCTGGGAAAACGGAGCAAACACGGCGAGAGCGGCAACACTGGTAGGCGGGACACACCCAGGACGGGAGTGGCAACATCGGGGCTACTTCATGGCTGGGACAGGAAACGGCGCGGCGGTACTTCCGGGCAACAACACAGAACATCTCTGGGGGGATATTCTGTGGGGAACACAACTGGCGGCGTTGCCAAGGGTTTATTTTTTATTGATTTGATGGTGACGGTGCAAGGCGTTCATTAAAATTATTGAATTTTCCATCGATCTGCACTGGATGGAGAACTAAATGGCTCTTTTATGGTTTAAAAACCGAAAATATCGCTTGGGAAATCATGGCCATACATAAATATGTAAAAAAAATCAATTTCTGAACTGAAAGAATGTAATAATTGTGTAGAATTCCAACTTTTGCAATCTTTTAATCAACAAAATGATGCCCAATGCATTCTTGGTACCAAAAATCGGCGTAATACGGCGGAATATTGCACTCATTTACAATTTGTTTCAGTACCAAAACGAAGTCTTGGTCGCTAATGTTCTTCGATTTGTCTTCGGTTCGCTGTATATTTGTTTCACGTTTAATGTAGTGTCCTTCAGAAAGAAGACTTTTTTGGTAACCGGCTTCTTGACATTTCATAGACAAATTAAACCTAGAAAAATTACGAGATTCTTTAAAAACTTTTTATAACACAGCATAAATTAATTTTTTTTTCGTTGGTTCTATTATTTAATGCAATACATTTTTTGGCGTAAAAATAGGAAAAATTTGAGGATATGAAATAATTTTATAGTCATTGAATTATAAGTGCTAAAACCACTCCCAGGGACTGTGGTTTAAAACGCTTGGCAATTTAGATTTTAAATTTTTACACTTACGGTGGCCTCATGTCAGCAATGCATTTTCCCATATCGTTGTCTTTAATATCACGACTTTTATCTCTAAGCTTCAGAAGGTCCTCTTGATATTGCATTCTCTTATCAGTGAAGATATACGTACATTTTTTGTTAAGTTCGGACTCTCGATGTTTATAATACAACTTCCTCATTTTCTTCATGTACTCTGACCAGGGTAGGTTTTTGATAATTTTTTCAATTTCCATTAACTCGCTAAATCAATTGAAGCAAAAATAGATTAATTTATGTAGGGGAGGTTTACATGACCTCATTGCGACATGATCTGTTTTATAAACGCCAAAGAAGATAAATTGTTAAACGGAACTATCGGTAAAGCTTCGCTTCGATTAGTGGCAATAAAAAAATTCAAAAATTCGAGTCCCGCCTTCATTTATATTCTCTCCCAAGGTTTTGGCGGTGACGCGATAATTGTCGCTTTTTTCTATTACTTGTCCACCGAGGGAAACGTAAATTTAATGTTTTATATGTTTTTGATCAAATTTACAATTCCCGGAAGTATGGAAGAATATAAAAAATTATGGGTTGATTTCTTGGCAAGTGTTGCCACTTTCGGTGAAATTTCCCACGTTATCGTTTAAATTTACCCTAAAAAAAATAATTATTTAATTAAATTAGCTTATTCCTATTATTTTAAAATCTAGGATGTACGGTCCATCTTGCATATTGCAAGAGCTCGTATTTTGAATATTAACATTCTTGCAGAAGGTATTACTAGCTAGAATTTATGACGGTATTCACAGGGTATCATACATAAGCATCTTTAATGGGCGTTTTTTCCTAACTTCACCTGCATATTTCAGCTTTCAGCTGAAAATTTGTCAACAACGCAACTTGAAACACTAACTGGAAAATGTGTAGAAAGTATTTGGTCGCGTACCTGCTACCCTGTAAAACCCCTTGATGTATTTGGGTGCTGAGCAAATGATGGCGGTCAAACATCAGCTCCATAATGCGCTGAATGAGGTCCTTTCTTTTGCCAAGCGGTACACCCCCAAGTGACAAATCTTCCACAATCGTTGGCCTTTCGGTGTCTTTATTTTCATTACTTGATTTGCTATCCAAACTACTATCATCCATGTTTTTAGCTAGATGCTCCGACATTTTTCTTGCTTGCATTATTTTTTTTATGTCGATTTCTTGGCGTACCTTTTAAAATAGCGTTGTTTAGAAGTAGCAGCGTTTTTGAGCATTTAAAATACAGTTGAGTCCGGATATAACGAACTTGAAAAATGAACTAAAACTGGTTCGTTATATCCGGAGTTCGCTATAAGCGAATAATAATACAAAA